TGTCTCTTTAAATATCCAAAATAGTCAAGCCGCTTTTTAAACCTACAAAATGGTGGCACTCTCCAGACCAGCAAAAGTCCACAGCTCAGCCCACCTTTCTCTTCACTTTCTCTGTTTGTTCCCCAGTCACCGTGCACAATTCGTGCAGTCCCTGGCTAGCAGGGTGATTTTTAGGTTAATTTTTAGGTCCTACCACCACTCGGGAATGTCCAAGTCGTTTGTGCCTCAGGGGTGTTCAGGTCCCTGCCAGACCGCAGCTCCGTATGTCTCCTTTTTTGGTATTTTCACGTAAATTCTTCTGCTAGTTGGGGTTTAGTCTACTTCTGTAGCCTTCCCTTCAAGGCTCAGGGGTCCAAGATTATCTTCTGTGTCTGTGTCAATTGGTTTCCCTTTTCTTTGTTCAAGAGGGTCTGTGCAGTCCTTCTGCCTAGTCCGCCATCTCGCCGGAACTTCTTTAGTCCAATTCTTTATCCTTTCTTTCAAAGCTCAGGGCTCCAGGATTATGTTCTGTATCTATGTCAGTTGGTTTCTCTTTTCTTTGTTAGAGGGTCTGTGTAGCTTGTCTGCCTATCACACCATCTTACCAGAAGGCTAGTTTACTTCTTTAAGACTACAAGATGATTTAAAATTATTTATGTGGCTCACATGGTATTTCTTTAGAACACAACTTGATTGGGAGCTCTGGTGGCATAGTACCTAAGGCATTTGACTTTTAAGGCCGGCAGTTTAAACCCACCAGCTACTCCCCTGAAGGAAAATGGGGCAATCTACTTCCAGGAGAGATACTGCCTCGGAAACCCAAAGAGAGATTGCTATGATTCAGAAATGACTCGACAGCAGTGAGCTTAAGGGTTTTTTTTTTTTTTGGGGGGGGGGGGAGGTGGTTGCTTAAAAACAAAAACACCAAACCCATGGCCATCAATTCAGTGACCCTGTAGGACAGAACAGACTGTAGAATTGCCCCGTAGGGTTTTCCAAGGCTATAAATCTTTACGGAAGCAGCCTGCCGGTGGGTTTGAACCACCTACATTTCACTTAGCAGCCTGGCACTTAAGCACTGCACCTCCATGTTGGCCACCAGGTGGCAACCCTATCCCATGTTTACAGCTCAGATTGGTGCCCCACCCCCCTCACCTGGGCCCAGGCTTCTCAGGGAGTAGTTAGCAGAGGAGGCTGCTGATCTTATTGGGAGTAAGGTGTGTGCTAGCTACTCCATTTTTAGTCAATCCATGTCACATTCACTTGTATGGAAATGATTCTCAGTGTAATAAAAGACAGGTACTCTGCTCTCTGAGTTTAAGAGCAGTCATCCTTAAAGACTGGACTTCTTATATATGTAATAGTTTACTTCATCACCTCTGCCCAGCCTTCTCTCATTTTTCTTTTCTCCCTTCCACATGTCCATTCTCCACATCAAGTTCAGTTGTTATGATGCTGTTCATGTCCTTAATTAAAATGTCAAGTTGCCTTTATCACCTAAATCTCAACATATTATGAACCACCATCAGAACACCTCATATTCCACGAGCCAAAGGAAGACGAGGGAAAATGGAGAAAGATTGGAGAAGGGAGCCCAAGCCCAGTCCCATTCCTACCAAGAGGCCAGGTGAGTGGCCTGCTGGCTGCCTCCCCCAGGACCAGCCTTGGAGCACCCTCAGAGGGACATACAGAGCAATGGGAGAACGCAACAGAAGGGAGGGCTTAGCAGGGGGACTATGGGCTTGCCTGTGGGTGGGTGGCAGTGGCACCACCCTGGGGAGTGACTAGGAGCCACTTCACAAGAGTGGCCCAGAGAGACACAAGACACAAGCAGTCCCTGCAACTGTACAGATACCTTTATTGGGGACTGTCTGGGTGGGGGGTTGCAGTACCCACAGGCTCAGTTGCTAGCCAGGATCTCCTGGATCCAGGGGATGAGCGTGGTGACGCGGGCATACACAGCAGGTGTGGAGGTGGAACAGGTGCCGCTGCCCCAAGACACAATGCCCACCAGGGTCCACGCGTCGTCCTTCTGGCAGACCAGGGGGCCACCAGAGTCACCCTGTGTGGGGAGGAAGGACTTATTACCAGGCGTGGAAGGGGTTGTTGGGGCCCTAGTATGTCCTGTCAGAGTCCAGGAGGGGGCTGTGGAGAGACCTGCTCTGTGTGGTGTGAATCAGCTGGATCTGATGGAATCGCATCTTTGTATCCATTCTTGGAGGGACCTGGGGTGGGGCCTTGCCTGCAGCCTGGTCAGTGTCTGTCAGTGTCTTTCAGATGGGCTGAAGGCCTAGCCTCGGGGCTGGTTGTGTGGATGAAATGTCTACGGGAGCCCCCCTACCCAAATCTGTTACTGTTAGTTCCAGCTTCTGCTGGGGTTCAGGTTCAGGGTCTGACGGGAATGGGGAGCCCAGGCAGGGAGGTGGTCAGGGTGGTGGGAGGAGGCAGGTACCATGCAGGAGGAGACGCCACTGGCCCCGGCACAGATCATCACGTCAGTGATCTTGCTGCCCCAGTACTTCTTGCAGTCGGCATTGGACAGGAGGGGCAGGGCTGCCTGCTGTAGCTTCTCAGGGGTATTGAGAGCTGGGGGGACAGGAGACAAAGTCAAGGCCTGTTACCTAGCTCAGCCCAGCCCTTGAGATGCCCTGCACCCTTTTCCTTAAGAACATCCTGTTCTTTTCAGTTCCTTTTCAGATTCTATGCCAGCCAAGCGAAGTTGTTAAAGGCCCCACACGCTCACCGTTGTACTTGGTCTTGCCCCAGCCTGTAGTGGCACAAAGGGAGCCAGCGGGGAAGTCATCTTCAGCCCCGGGCAGGCAGACAGCAGACACGGTCCGGGTGAAGCGGGCGGGTGTGGCCAACTTTAACAGGGTGATGTCATTGCGGACAGTGATCATGTTGAAGTTGGGGTTCTTGAAGACCTGTGGGTGAAGGTCAGGACAACCAGTGAGGGCCTGGCCTGAGTCAGGGACCTGCAGATTTTGAGGAGACAGCTCCTTTCCTGGTGGCCTTTCAGGGGAAATAGCCATGGGGGCTCTGAGTAAGAATCCTGAGGCTGCCCACCCCTCGGCTTGTGTCTCTCCTCCTATACTCCCAGCCTCTCAGCTGAGCTCCCCGCCATGCAGCAGGGCCAGAACATACCTTGGCGATCTTCAGGACCTGGGTATCCTCTGCATCTGAGCCCTGGTCAAACTCCCCAGCCACGACCAGGTGGGAGGTCCTAGACAGTACACGTCAGGGGTTGCGGGGTGGGAATGCACCCTGCCCACCCCACTCCCCTCAACAAGCTGGAAGCAGAGTCTGAGCCCACTTGGGCCTCACCTGACCCCACAGTGGGCGGCAGTGACTACCCAGTCCTCACTGATGAGGGAGCCCCCGCAGAAGTGGAAGCCGGTGCTGTCCTGGGGAGGTAGGTGGGGAGGGTCAGCGACACCCTCCCTGGGCAGCATGCCCCCAGGCTGGCCAATACAACAGGGCCCCCACACATACTCAGATTACCCCCTCACCTGCAGGGACACCTGCCAGGGCCAGGAGCCGGGAACGGCATCCTCCCCGTTGACGATCCTGGACAGGCCATTCAGCACAGGGTGGATTGCTGGCACTCCGCAGCCTGAGGAGGGGGCAAGAGGAAAGACTCAGCCCAGGAGCCGGAGGGGCTCACCTGGAGAGCTCCAGGCCTGTTGGTCAGCCACAGTACCCCACTGCATAGCTGCCACCTCCTCCAAGCTCGGGGCCCCCCGCAGATGCAGCCCCCTGACCCCAGGCAGCCTTCTAGGGCCTACCTCCACCTGGCGCTGCCTTCCTGAAGGAGCAAAAATGGGGAAGGCAGTCTGCTGGCTCAGCTCCTAGCCCCACCCTTCCTTCCTGAGTGAACACAGCCTGGGAGCTGCACCTCCCGGTCCTCTGTTTCCTCAGCTGTAAAATGGGCATCAGAACAGTGCCAGCTTCTGAGCTATGTGAGACAAGCCCCCAAGTACTGGGAAGCCCAGGAGGAACCTGGGATGCTCACACCTGCCTGACAGGTGTCACGTGGCGCCATTTCACACGGCTGTGCTCCTGTGCAAGTCTCTTTCTGCGATCATTCACAATTTTAGGAACTGTTCACTGTGTGAAGTTTTAGTTTCTTTATTAATAAAACAGGGCTTTGATTCCATACCATAAAAGGCCACTGAGGAAACAACATAGTGCTTTAACTTGCAAAACAAAGAGGATGGGTGGGTGTACTCAGTATGTCCATGATGCACCTGCCGCAGGTGACTTCTCAGCACCTGACCACAAGTTCACCACCTGCAGACTGAGGAGAGTCGGGCAGGTGCAGCCTCTACAGCTGGCCAGCGCAGGGCACCATGTCTCCTGCTCCTGCCCACAGAGGCCCTGTTAGCACACACGGAAAACTCCAAAGTCACAAAAAACACCGAACACTAGAAATAAACAGCGTTCCCAGGACAGTCCTTTATGGTGATTAAAATAAATGACTGAGTCTCCATGTCGACGGGAGCTCTGGTAGCATAGTGCATAAGGCACTTGACTGCTAACCAGAAGGCTGGCGGTTCAAACCCACCAGCCACTCCTCAAGAAGGAAGATGGGGCAATCTACTTTCATAGTGATATTGCCTCGGAAACCCAAGGAGGGATCACTATGAGTCAGGTCCCACTTGACGGCACATGACAACAACACATGTCGACTGATAAATCGAGAATGTAACTGGAATAAAGCAAACTGTAAATCTGACAAAGAATACAATGTCATTTACATAAATTTTTGGAATGTAAAAAATTATGTGCGTTGCTCATGAATGTACAAATACGTACTAACTTTCTTTTAAAAACCCACACAGAGACAATGCCCGGCAAGTTCAAATTGGGTTGACCTTCCAAGGAGGGAGGAGAAGGGGTGCTTCAGTAAAATCTGCTTTATTGTTTAACCAGACGTGTCTGAATCAAACCTGCCACGGCCGTAGCACTGGCTAATCCTGGTGTCTCCATCATTACTGTAAGTATAGAAAGCTACACGGTAGCAAGTGCCCGGCACCGTGAATAGGAGCTTGGAGGTGTGTGGTCACCCCTCACCCTGCCCACTGCTGTCACCACCTAGGCACTTTTGCAGCCAGAGACTGGAGAGGCCTGACTTTTTGGGAGGAGGTGTTTCTTTCTTTCTTTTTTTTTTTTTTAATTTTTAATTGTGATTTGGGTGGAAGTTTACAGAACAAATTCACTTTCCGCACAGCAGCTCATAGTTTCACAACATTGACTGCAATTCCCACAGTGTAACAGCTCTCTTCCCACTTCCTTCATTTTCCTCTTCTTTGTGTCCTTCTTTCCTATGCATTCCTGTCCCCCATGAGCTGTCTCCCTGTGCAAATGCTGCCCTTCTGTTCTCCCATAATTGATCATTCTAAGGAGTGTATCTACCTGATGTAAGTGTTCACGGTATATGCCTGTCCATATTGTTTGCCTGGAAGCCACGGTAGTGAGTTCAGTTCCAGATCTGAAGAGTAACTAGGCCAAAGTCTCAGTGGTCTCACCAGGCTCTCTCACACCAGTAAATCTGGTCATTTTCATGAATTTGAGTTTTGTTCCACATTGTTCTCCCACTGGCCATGATCTCCTGTACTGATCCCTTCCCAAGTGGTTGACAGTCGTAGCCAAGTACCATCTAGGTCTTCTGGTCTCATGGTCATATAGGCTGAGCTTAGCACAGTCCACTAGTCCCTTGGACTAATTGTTTCCATGCATCTTTGTTTTTCTTTATTCTTCTTTGCTCTGGATGAGGGTTGATCCATTGTTGCATCTAAGTGGCCACTTGCAAGCTTTTAAGACCCCAGTTGCTACTCACCAAAGTAGGATGTAGAACCATGTTTTTGTGTAGTATGTTACACCAATTGAGCTTGATGCCCCCTGCGACCATGGTCCCAAGCCCACAGGTCCAATTACTCCTTCAGGGGGGTTGGCTGTGGCTAAGAAGTTATCATGACTTTGCCCCTTGTTAGGTCTATTTTGTATATTACAGCATATACAAAAACGTATGTGGAAATATCGTTTGCCAGCCTTATATATGGTCATGGATAATTCCCTTTTGCCTAGACATACCTGACTGTGCAGCCTGTCTACCCCTCTACCTACCAGTAGAGTAATGTCTTATCACCGAGGGTTTGTATTTGTTGTCTGTCTGAGAGGCCAGACTTGTCTTCTTTCCTCCCAGCATAGGGTGAGGGCTCTGAATGCCCTAGAAGAACCCTGTTCCTTCCTGCAGCCTCAGAATGCCTCGCCAGGGAGTGACCCAAGGGTGTAGAGAAGGGGGTCCAGACTGCACTCCTGGCCAGGCCCCTCCTCCCTGGCTGGCTGGCAGCACTTACCGAAGGTGGCCCCCACAAGGGCGAAGCATGAGAGGAACCAGAGAAAGGCCATGGTGCTGCAGTCAGATGAGGACCTGCCTGCTGTAGGGGCCCCTTTTGTATCCCCAGGGTCTCCCAAGCCCCACCCAGCCCCTCTGGCCCTGCCCAATAAGGGATGCCTGAGAGCCATTCCCCTTGTTATTCAAGGGCCTTGGACGACCAAGTCCCTCTCATGGGGACAGCCCAGCCCCTGAGAAGGGAGCAGCTGCTTTGGCAATGTCGGGATCTCCCAGGCTGCAGGCGAGGCCACAGAATCGGCAGGCAGGACTCTCCTGTACCCAACTCCTCAGTTAAAGCAGGTTCAAAGCATCCAGCTGGTTGCTTCTGGAGGGAGTTTTAAATTCCCCCTTGAGCATGGGCTCCACTTCTCAGCAAGGAGTGTATACAGTGCTTAATATTGATCTACAGGGAAAGTATGCCCAAGGGTCGCTCATGACCCAGGCCAGACAAGCAAGTTCCGAGCCTGCATCTGAACTGTGCCCACAACCCTGGAATCGCCCACACGAGGTCTGCTAACAGCTGACAGGCCGGCCATGTCTGCCTCAACTAATTCTCTTTCCTGTGATAGTTTACAATTTAAATGACTCCACTGTATGTATCAGGTTTTATTTTCTTATAAAATGGAACTTTGATTCCACACTATAAAGTACACACTGAGGAAACAGAGCAAAGAACAAAGCTTTTCCAGAAAAGGAAGTCTGCCTAAGTGGAGATGGAGGACCTGTCAGCATTTTGTGCACAGGGTCTTGCACTCGCTGGCTGGCTCTGCAGCCAGGCACTGTTCTAAGCACTCACCTGAACAGAGCTGACCTTGCAGGGTTGGGACACAGTGTGCGGTACTGAGAGGGAGCAGATAATACTGTAGAAAGCAATGACTCCAAGGTGATAAATATGGTGACCCAGGATAAGGAATGAGGAGCAGGGAGACACTGCTGTTCTAGGTCGGGACAGGGCTGTCAGCAAAGCCCCGAGGCAGAAGGACTGAGTCTTCGTCTAAGGTTTTCAGGGCCACGGTCACTGTGGAAGAAGAGGTGAGCAGGACAGTGTCACAGGCCTGGTTTTGACTGGAACTAGACTGATTTTAAAGTTTTGTCTGTCTTTAATTTATAAATTTAGGTTTTGTTTTAGAGTTGTGCGTTCTCAGCAGAGGAGATGGTCAACAACTTTTGAACTACTGGTTGAGCAGGGATCTGGCCCTTGGGGACAGTGGCGAGGCCCTGGCTGGCACAGAGTCCTGGAGGCTTGAGACCCTGTTCTGTGGAGAGGTCCCGAGCCCAGGGTGACAGAGGGCTGGGACAGTGGCTGTTTACTAGCTGGTACACAAGCTCTTGATATTTTAACACCCTCCCTGGACACCCATGGGCATCCCGCAGGCCTGACTATGAGCATGAATGATTCTATTGAAGTTCCTTATCTAAGTCAGGGTACTTTATTGAAATACTAACATTTGTTGATTGGGTTATGGTTTTTTTTAACACACTGCAAGCAAGGAGTCAAACCATTTGTATTTCTCTTGCTTCTCAGCAAAAAGCAGATGCAACCAGAGTCTCCAAGCTAAGCTCACAGACTAGTACAAGGCAGAGTGTGGAGAGGAGGGTGGGAGAGCTTCCCCGTCTACAAGGGGATGGGAGCTGGCAAGGGCCAAGGTAACCGGGTCACGTTTATGTGTATTTGCCAACATGCTTTTTAAAGTCAGTCCTTTTGGTCCCCAATCCACCCTCTATCAAACCAGACTGTGAGGTGAGACTCCTAAGGAGCAGGATTATAATTTGTTACAAAGAGTGATGGCCACTTCCCACAGCCATCTCCCCACGTCTTGAGCCCATGGGGTTCTTATGGAGGCTCGCCCACCCTAGCCCCAAGGGGAGAGCTCTGATGAATCCTAGCCAGAGGACGCAGAGGTAAGAGCTACGCCTGGCCTCTCTGCACTTCACAGTCCTATAAGGAGTGGTGCTGGGTGCTCTTGCAGCCTTTTTTTTTGTGTGTGTGTGTGTGATTTGGGTGAAAGTTTACAGAGCAAATTCACTTTCTATATAGCAGTGCACACACACGTTGTCTCATGACATTGACTACAATTTACCCCGATACAACAGCTCCCCTCCCACTTCCTCCCGATAGTTACCTCTTCCCTGTGTCCATCCCTCCCCCACCATACACTCCTGCCCCTTGAACTGTCTCTCTCTGCGTAAAGTCCTTCCTCTCTGATGATGGGGGTTGAGGAGGGGGTGCTGCCTCCGGGTCTCATGGGCAGGGGCAGGAAAGGCAGCGGGGCACTGGACAGGCAGGGATCACCCTCCCTCAAGTCCAGCTGTGATTGTTCCCAAAAGCCAGAGCAACCTGGGGAGGGGGGGGTCCTGGGGTAGGCGGGGCAGGACCAGCTGTTGGCTCCCATGGCCATGGCCATGGCCATGAGTTGGCTCAGGTCAGGCCCAGGGCTACCAGGTATGGTCTCCACCAACTTCCTTCTCAACACATGCCCTGTTGGGTCCATGGCTTAACAGTGCCCCAGTGTCAGGGAAGATCAGCCTCCCTCCAAAATTCCTCCTCCACCAGCTTCCCAGTTGTTTGGAAAGCTTCCCGTTTGTTTCCCCATGCTGTTGCCCAAGCTGGACACCAGGTCTCCCTGCCCCATCACTTCACCCATTTCATCCCCATGGACTCTCACTGGGGTGATGGTAGCACCTCCTGGCTGGTCCATGGCCGCAGGATACCACTTGCTCAGCTCAAGGGGCCCATGTGCCCTGCCACCAGGGTGTAGGGGCATGGTTCAGTGTGAGGGGACAGAGGTGAGGTACCCCTTCAAGCAGCTCTGTACAGTGACCACCAAATGTTCAATTGGGCCTTCACTAGGCCTCCTTGGCCATCCCATTAGGGTGGAGCATGCTGGCCACGTGTGCCCTCATTCATGCCTCTGTCCCATGCCACGAGGCACAGGCCTGGTCCCCATACCTAGCCTGACCATACCACCTAGAGCTTTGGAACAACTAACACACCAACCAAATTATTGGTCCAAGGCCTCCCAGACCACAAGAGACCAGGCTGGCTTAACCCCAGGGCTTCTGGCCAAGTTGGAAGGGCCTCCCTGGGCAGGCCTGCTTGCAGCCCACAGGACCCTCACAAGTCAGGGCCTGGAGGAGGTGACCCAAGCATCCCAACCCCTTCCCCTTGGCTATGGGTTGAGGGCCACCCTGTTCAGCTCTGCCCGTGCTCTTGGCACTAGCACCAAATGCAGCCCAGGCACAGCTGCTGCCATCCCAGGCCCCAGTGCCACCTCAGCTCTGGCACATGCTGCCCTGTGGACACACTCCCAGGAAAGACATTATCGCCCCAAGGCCTCCAGACAGCAGCCTGCCACCCAGGGCATATAAGGGGCTGTGCCCAGGCAGCAGTGACATAGCTTACTGACAGCAGCACCATGACCTTCCTCTGGCTCCTCTCCTGCTGTGCCCTCCTGGGCACTGCCTTTGGTGAGTGTTGGGGTCTAGGTGGAGGCAGGAAGGCTGTCTCCCCAAAATCTAACCCCAGAAGTGGGGTCCCTGTTTTCAGGTCAGCTGTGCTAGGTGGTGTGAACTGACCCTGAGCCAGTTCTGCACAGAGCCTCACTGAGCCCATCTCTACATTGAGGACGAGGAGAGGACTAGACCAGACCACAGGGCTCCCTCCCACACAGTCTCAGACGTGACCTTGAGCCTGACAACTAGGGCCCTGGCTCCCTTTCCCTGGGGAGAGGGAGGATGTGGTTGGGGCTGCCCGGAGGCCTCGCACCCTGTGCTGGGAACAGGGAAGACCCGTACACTTGGTGGCTTCCACACAGGCTCAGATCATGAGCATGTGGGCATTGGAGGCTGGGCCCCAGCAGCCTCTCAAGATCTCGAGCCCCTCCTGGTGCCGGGAGCACAGCTGGGGCTATGCCAGCTGACTGTTCAACCCTATGAGCTTAGCAACTTATGGCCCCCATTTTGCTGAGAGGAACCTGAGACTCAGAGTGGTTTCCTGAGGCAGGGATGGGCTCGGATTTAAACCCAGAGCGTCAACTTTGCTTTGGCCCATGGCCCACCTCACATGCAGCATGGTCTGCTCATCCAGCCTCAGGTCTGGCCCCTGACAGATCCAGGGCTGGGGGTGGGTGAGGCAGGGCAAGCTTCTCAGAAATGAGGGGGGGCCGGACTCCAGGTCTGAGGCTGGGACGGTTGGACCTGGCTACTGGGACCAGAGTTGGTCCCGACCTGATCCTTCACCTTCTGCCCTTTGCCCCATCCCTAGGCTGCGGGGTCCCCAGCATCCACCCCGTGCTCAGCGGTCTCTCCCGAATTGTCAATGGGGAGGATGCTGTTCCTGGCTCCTGGCCGTGGCAGGTGTCACTACAGGTGAAGAACCAGCCCCCACCCTGACCCTGAAGCAGTGAGCAGAAGAGGAAGAAGGGAGGGTGGCAGGAAGAGGGCCCCACCCTGGAGTGGGAGCTGGGGCCTTCTGGCCACCGCTGACCCTCCCCACTTCCATCCCCAGGACAGCACCGGCTACCACTTCTGTGGGGGCTCCCTCATCAGCGAGGACTGGGTAGTCACTGCTGCCCACTGCGGGGTCAGGTGAGGCCCAGGTCTGCAGGGTGGGAATGAGGACCCCCAGCACTAAGAACAAGTTCTCTGACCCCTTTGAGCCTTGTCTGGAAATGTGTGGACTGGACTGGTGTTAGTCTTGCCTGTCTCCCAAGGTTGCTGGGAAGGAAGAATGTGGCCCGTCGCAGGTGCAGCTGGCCCAGCTCTGTGAGCATCCCACGTGTGTGCACACACAGGCACACTCCCTCATGTGTGCACACATGCACTTGACTGCATTCTGCATTCCCACAAGTTTGCACACTGCACACCACCTCACAGCAGGAGCCCCCACCTCACAACAGGAACCTCTCTCCTTTCTCTGGCCCTCTCCAGGACCTCCCACCTGGTCGTGGCTGGGGAGTTTGACCAGGGCTCAGATGCAGAGAGCATTCAAGTGCTCAAGATTGCCCAGGTATGGTGATCAGGGAGTCCAGGTGTGACCCCTGGGCAGGAGAGAGCTCTACGGAGTGTGTGGTCCAGGGAAAGCTCGGCTGGACCAGGAGACCACCCTCCCCCAAGCCCTTCCAGGTCACCCCAATACCCCGAGATTAGACAAAGCAGCCAGGCAGAAAACAGGGTGTACACACTGGTCCTTGGCTCCACAGGCCATTGTCCAAAGAGAAAACTGAGGCTGATGGGGGGGAAGCCATGCACCTCTGGTCAGGCCTGCAGCCCCACAGTAGCTTCCTCCCCAACTGCGCATGTCCACTCTCACCCACAGGTCTTCAAGAACCCCAAGTTCAACATGTTCACCATCAACCATGACATCACCCTGCTGAAGCTGGCCACGCCCGCCCGCTTCACCCAGACCGTGTCTGCTGTGTGCCTGCCCAGTGAGGACGATGACTTCCCGGCCGGCTCCCTCTGTGCCACCACAGGCTGGGGCCTCACCAAGCACACCAGTGAGTCAGCGGCTGGCTGGCTGGCCTGGTGGGCATGTGGGTGGGTGCATGGGAGGGAGGTGTAGGCGGGCGCGTGGAAAGGAGGTGCAGACCAGGCGGCAGGATGGGGCTACAGCTGTTGAGTGTTCCCTCTGCCTTTCCAGATGCCAACACCCCTGACCGCCTGCAGCAGGCAGCCCTGCCCCTCCTGTCCAACGCTGACTGCAAGAAGTACTGGGGCAGCAGGATCACCGACCTCATGGTCTGCGCCGGGGCCAGTGGCGTCTCTTCCTGCATGGTACCACCTCAGGGCTCCCAGCACCCCTTCCCTTCTAGCCCAGGGTGGGTTCAGGGAAAAGCCCAGGCCTAGGCAGGGAGAATGGAAACGGAAGCAGCAGGCAGGTCTCTCTCTCTCCAGGGTCTCCCTCTCTCCCTGGGGCGCCTGCCCATGCAGTCGGGGAAGCAGGGCTCCTGGGGCACCCTGGAGCTCAGGAGAGGGCTGGCGGAAGAAGGTCTCTGTTGAAAAATTCCATGATAGCGTCGTCTAAGCAAATGGCACCTCTCGGAGTGTGCAGCCTGACAGTGGCACACGGAGGCCTAGCCATCACCGGAAGTGTGAGGGCAGCCCATGGCCAGCCTCACCCAAGCTCTCACTAGTCAAACTGGCTTTGCTAAGACTACTATGGACCCCAGAGTCCCTGGTGGGTGCAACAGTTAATGAATTCAGCTACTAACTCAAAGGCTGGCAAGGCTTGAACTCACTGCCCAGCAGAAAGGCCTTGTAATCTCCTTCTGGAACATCAGCCACTGAAAACACTATGGATGCAGCTCTAAGTGACACACGTGGGGTCACTGTGAGTTGGAATCAAGGTGACGACAATTTTTTTTTTTCCATTTCTGTGGATCCTGCTCCCCCCTTATGGCCCAGACTTCCTGGGGGAATAGCACAACAGGAGCTGCTGAGTTTTTGGTCACAATCTGTCCAATATGAGTGTGACAAGTGTCAGGCCCTTGGCTAGGCTGTGGCGCCAAGTCCAGGGCCCCTCAGCCAGGCCAGCTGAGTCACCGCAGCTCCAAGCCCTCTCTCCCTTCTGCAGGGTGACTCTGGCGGCCCCCTGGTCTGTCAGAAGGATGGCGCCTGGACCCTGGTGGGCATCGTGTCCTGGGGCAGCGGCACCTGCTCCACCTCCTCCCCCGGCGTATATGCCCGTGTCACTGGCCTCATGCCATGGGTGCAGCAGATCCTGGCTGCCAACTGAGCCTGTGCCCTCCCAACCCACACCACACAAACCCTCAATAAAGCCGTGGAAACCCGTCAGTGTGTCTGTCCTGTGTCAGGGCCACTGAAGCCTCTCTCCGCTCCTGAACATGGACCTTCCCTGGGCCGGGAAGGCGGTGGGGTTCTCTAGGTGCCCCTTCCAAGACCCCTTGCCTATCACCTGGGCTCCAGCTCCCCAGAGAGTCCAGGAAGGCCACAGGAGAGAAAGGGGAGGGGGAGAAGGGCCTGTGCAGGCCCCCCTCTGCCCCCAGGGAGAAGGTGGCCAAGAGGAAGCCCATGCTGACCCCACACACCTGTGTTTCCGGGAATCTCTTCCCAGGCCCACACTGGGGCCAGGTGGCCTATCAGCCTAAGAACTCACGATAAGGACAGGAGATGGCGAGGCCAGCTGTGATTGGTGGGCTGAGAAATATAACGGGGGGTCCACCAGGCAAGCCCACACCACCTCCCAGACTCCCAGCCAGACACCATGGCCTTTCTCTGGATCTTCCTTGGCTTCCCCCTCTTTGGCACGAGCTTTGGTAAGTGCTGGCTCCGGGGGGCTGGCAGGCAGGGCACACCTCTCCATCACCCTTCGCTGATGCCCAGGAGCAGGGAGGTCCCAGCCGTTAGGCAACTGTGCTCACCAGCTTGTGGGCGACCTTCCCCTCACCATCGTCCCCCTCACACGCATCTCCAGTCCTCGGCTGCTCCCACCTGGCCTTCCTGGTCCTGGGACCCCTCCAGGCCTCCGCTTCTATCCCAGATTCACACACCTGTGGGAAACCACCACCTGGAGATCCCACAAGCACCTAAAATTCAACTAGACATACTGGGTCCCCTCTTGTCTCTGTCTCCTCCATCCACATGGACAGCCACCCAGAGCCAGAGAGTCACTGGGCTCCTTCACCCTCTAAACCCAGCACCAAGTCCTGTGGATTCCGCCTTGGGAGTGTCCTGCCTGCCTCCTCAGTGCAGCCCTGCACCCTGGGGACCTGGGCAGCCTCCCGGGGTTGTGCCCTCCAGATGGGCAGCATCTTCAGCCCACTGGGCTCTTGCCACAAACTCAGACAGTGAGAGCACCAAGGGCCTGGAGGAGCAGGAGACCCCACCCCATAGCCAGGGACCCTGCCTTCAGGCAGAGGTGGGGTGCTGCTCACTGGAGGTGCCCGGGCCCGGCCTATCAGCTCTGGGCTCCCAGTTCCAGGCCTTGCTCACAGGTGCCCTTGGCCCCCAGCCCCTCCACAGGGCCCCTGAGGGTGGCTGCTGAACAGTGAGTGGGCTGAATGCCCTAGAGGGCTAAAGCTCTGGGCACTGCAGGGGGCTGGAGGTGCCCTGCCCTATTGGGACACAGTCAACAAACCAGCCACCCTGTCCCTGTCCCCAGGCTGCGGGGTCCCTGCCATCCAACCTGAGCTCAACAGTCTGTCCAGAATTATCAATGGGGAGGACGCTGTTCCCGGCTCCTGGCCCTGGCAGGTGTCCCTCCAGGTGAGGAGGCGGCTGAGGTGGGGTAGGGGTGAGGAGACCTGGAGAGGAAACAGCCAAGGCCGACTCTCCCCCACCCCCACCCCCACCCTACACAGACCCGCTCTGGTTTCCACTTCTGCGGGGGCTCCCTCATCAGCGAGGACTGGGTGGTCACCGCTGCCCACTGCGCGGTCAGGTAAAGTGAGGGCTCGGGCAGTTGAGGCTCCTGGGCTGTGAGAAAATGACCCTCACCCATTCCCAACCCCAACCAGACCCCGCATCCACGCCCACTCCAACCAGACCCTAGCTTGGGGGACTCTAGTCTGGCCCTGGGCCCTTACTGTACAGATGGGAAAACTGAGGCCCAGTATGAGGGAGGGATGACCCAAGGTCACCGTAAGATTCCGTGGCCAGCTGGGGCCCAGCCCTGCCGGGCACCCTTCCCGAGCCCTGCCGAAGAGGCGGCTGTGAGCCTGAGCACTGCTGCCACCTCTTCTCTCTCCAGGAGGAGCCACAGGGTGGTGATCGGGGCATCTGATCGTAGCTCCGACCAGGAGGTCGTCCAGGTGCTCAGGATTGCTAAGGTACAGCCGGGCGGGCACGGCAGCGAGGGGCCGCAGCCAACGCTCCCGGGGCTCGGCAGGCAGCGAGTGTGGTGGCAGGAGCCCGTGCCCCAGGGCTCAGGTTTGCCCCATGCGTCTTGGCTTCTGGTGCTCACGAGCACCTCGCCCAAGTGTTTTTTTTCCCTGCCTCAAAGCTCCTTTTTAAATATGGTAACTTATTGTAGAGAAATGTGAAAAAAATATAATAATTAAACATCACCAGCATGCCACAAAAGAGCTCTGGTGGTGTTTGTTTAAGGCATTGACTGCTAACCAAAAAGTTGGTGGTTCGAACCCACCAGCCACTCCATGAAAGAAAGATGAGTCAGTCTGCTTCTGTAAAGATTTACAGCTGTGGAAACCCAATGGGGGTCACTGAGTCAGAAATGACTCAATGGCAGTGAGTTTCATTTTTCAGAACATGCCCCAGGTCATGTTTCTACCAGTCTTTGTTCCTGATTCTCTGTCCAGCCCTATGGGACACGAGCCTCCCCTTTCTTCTCCCATGCCTTCCACCCCTTCCTCCCAGGTGTTTGAACACCCTCTGTGGGACGAGCAGACGGTTGAAAACGACATCACTCTGCTGAAGCTGGCAGCACCAGCCCAACTCTCTGACACCGTGTCCCCCGTCTGCCTGCCCAGCGCCAGCGCCACCTTCCCTGCGGGCTCCCTGTGTGCCACCACGGGTTGGGGAAGGACCAGGCCCACTGGTGAGTGCGCCCTGCAGGGGCTTTTTAGGAGAATGAGGCTCATTTGGGGTCTTTTGGTCTAAATTCCAGGCACAATTATAAATCATTCCATTTCTTTATGTAAAATCCTCTTAATTAAAAATTGACCAAGCATGAATAAAAATGAGGTTCAGTAGTGAGATACTTGGACAGTGAATCTGTGAAGCAAGAAACACCCTCGAGTAATCTCTTTCATCATCTACAACAATGAACTCCAGCTGATCCAAGCCCTGAAGGTAAGACCTAAAATTATAAAGACCATCAAGGAAAAAACAGGGACAAGCTTAGGGGCCCTGAAACATGGCATAATTATAAAAAATGACTAAGAACACAAAAACCCCAGAAGACAAAACAGATAACTGGGACCTCCTAAAAGTTAGACACTTAGGCACATCAAAAGGTTTCACCAAAAGAGTCAACGGAGGACACACAAACGGAAAAAAAAGTTTGGCAATGACATACCTGACAAAGGACTAATCTCTAAAATTTAGAGAAAACGTTAACATCTCAGCAACAAAAAGACAAATAATCCAATTAAAAATGGGCAGAAGACATTAACAGATCCTTCAAAGAAGACATGCATTCAGGCAGCCAACAAAAACATGAAGAAATGCTTGCCATCATTAGCCGTTCGAGAGACGCTGGGAGAGAGGCAAAGCAAAACAAGGAGATATCATCTCCCCCCAGCACAAATGACAAAGTTCAAAACAACAGGCAACAACAAATGCTGGTGAGGATGTGGAATCCTCCTAAGTTGCTGGTGGGGCTGTAAAATGGTGCAACCACTGTGGAAAACGAAAAGCTGGAAACAGAAATACCCTATGCTCCAGCAATCGCACTGGATTCCTGAGAAATAAGGACCATGACACAGATAAATGCACCTCCACATTCATCGCAGTACTGTTCACAGTTGGAACGACGTAAATGCCCATCAATGGATATATGTATAAACAAACTATGGAACACACACACAACGGAATACGATGCAACACTGAAGAACAACGAGGACTCTGCAAAACGTGGGTGACTCTGCAGGACGTTATGCTAAGCGAAATTAGTCAATTACTCCTGTAAAACGTCATGAAAAGGTTTCAAACAAAAATAAACATTCTTTGATGGTGACCAGGGATGGGCGGGAAGGGAAGGTAAACCACTAACTACAGGGTAGACACATACGAACTTGCGTGAAGGGGAAGGCGATATAAAACGAGGAGGAGGTCTGCACGAACTGATCAAGGAAAGACGCCGGCGGAGCGCGAATTCAACGCAACAGAGCTAAACACCAACTCATCCGTAATCCTTCAGTTAACAGTAATAACAACAACCAATAATCCATGAGAGGCCAGACACACCAGCTGGACAGGTGTGGGAAAGAGAACGGGACCATACCCACAGAAAATTTAAAACATACCCGAGGAGACTGGGCATCGCCCTGCAGACCTGCTGAGCCCGGCAGCAGCGTTGCATTTCCGGCCTGGATGCGGCTCTGATCTCGGGCAGAACGCGCGTCAAGCTCGGGGCAAGTCTTGGCTGGGAGTCAAATGTAAATGTTAGGCCGGTTCCAGGCTTCGGGTGTCGGGCCGAAGCCACAGGTCCCTCCACCCAGGCCTCGGCCCACCGCGGCCGGGTCCTCATTCTCTCCCCAACACGACACACGCAGCCAGGCCGACGAGGCAGCCGCGCGCCGGCTGGCCCGCCCGCCCGCTCGCTGAAGCGTTGTCTTCTCAGCCCGGCTCCCGGCACTTCCGTCACAGGAAGTGCACGCTCCGCGGCGGAAGAGGCCGCCGGCCTCCCGGCCGGCCCCACCGTGGCCGCTGCTGCCCAAACCGCGCCAGCGCTGGGCAGGCGTTGTTTGAACCGTGCTTGAGCGAAGCCCCCTGGTGCTGGGGTGGAACGTGAAGGCAGTGCAGTCCGCGGAGTGTAGGGAAACCCAGGGAAGGCACAGGGCGGTCTGGCGGGGGAGGGGGCACGGCGCTTGGCTGCTAGCCGGGGGCTGGAGGTCAGCAGTGTGAACCCATCACTCTCAGAGAGGCCCTTCCCCCGCCCAGACGCTCCGCGTTAGGAGGCCGCGCTCTTGTTCCGTCAAGATTTGCAGCCTTGGAAAGCCATGGGTCAGAATCCACTCCATAGCAGTGAGTTTGGTTTGATTTCTGAGGGGAAGCGGCAGAGTGTGGCTTCCCGTGACCTCCTCTCCGGGGGAGGGCGGGAGTCTGAGGGGCCCTGGCCCGCCTCCTCGGTGGTGGGCTGGGCCAGGTGACAGGCCCCGACTCTGTCCGTTGGCCTTGCAGCCGACAAGACCCCCGAGAAGCTACAGCAGGCATTCCTGCCCCTCCTGTCCAAGGCTGACTGCAAGAAATACTGGGGCAGCCGGATCACCCCCCTCATGGTGTGCGCCGGGGCCAGCGGCGTGTCCTCCTGCATGGTACCACCGCCTCCCGCCACCCTGCCCGGGCTCCCACTCCTTTCTGACCCAGGACACCCGCCCCAGACCGAGGGAGGGCTCCCGTGGGCGTTGATGGGCTCTCCAGGACTAAACCCAGGTCCAGCTGATTCTTGCTGTCACACGGAGTGGGTCTCTCTGTACCCTTATCCCCCCCTGGACTCCCACAGGTCAGAGCACACTAGGGCCCCAGTACCCCCTTCCACACCTGGCAACACGCCCTGTCTCCCCACACAGGGCGACTCCGGTGGCCCCCTGGTCTGCCAGGAGGATGGTGCTTGGACCCTGGTGGGCATCGTGTCCTGGGGCAGCAACCAGTGTCACCCGTTCTCACCAGGTGTGTATGCCCGCGTCAGCAAGCTTATGCCCTGGGTGCAGGAGGTTCTGGAGGCCAACTGAGCCCACCTGTACCCCACTCTTCACATCCGTGTAAACCGGAATAAAACCCCAGAGCAGCTGTTTGGTCCTTCATTAGTTTCTGTGTCCTCGCTGGGGTTGGCTGGGAGCTGGGGGGATGGGCATGAGGGGCATGGGGTAGATGCCTTCACTGGAGTCCACTTTATGGAGTTAGAACAGTTGACAGACCACTCAGCCCACTTCCATTTTTCGTAAGGAGAGGGAAACTGAGGCCCAGGGTCACATACAGCAGGTTAGAGTTGGGAGCAGCACCTCCTGATTTGCACCCTGCCGCCACCTTTGCTCAGCCCTTCCTCTCAGAGAGGCCCTTCCCCCGCCCAGACGTAGTAGGCACAGGCCAGCCTAGGTGAGCCTGCTCTCTATAGGGCCCCATTCACAAACCCCAGCATTGCCCCGGCAGCAGGGGGAGGACATGCTGACCCAGAGCAATGGCACCCTGACTTGGAAGCCTAGTCCCTGTGATTCACACTAAAACTCTTTGGAAGTGCACAGCTGAGACAATGAGCTGCTCTCCAGGAGCACAGTTCTGGAAGGCAGGCTACAGCCCTCACCCCAGTCCCCGTGAACACCCCGCCCAAGACCACCTTCCTTCCTGAGACCACCTTCCTTCCCACCTCAGGAGGCTGCTGCCCGTTATTCAAATTTTATTTAAATGTAGACTATTGGTCGAATGATTGGAAAATCAATAATGAAAAATAGTTCTTTAGGGTTTTGTCCTGGTGCAGAGAAGGGACATACCAAGCTGCACTTTCTCTGCAGGAGACACGGCACAGGGGCTACAGTTATTCCAGGGTTCACTCAAGACCCTGCAGCTGAGGGACCTGCCACACCCTGGCCTGGTCCTGTATCTGCAGCCCCAGGCCCTCCCATCAGACATGTCCTGGGCAGCAATGCTCAGGGAAGACCGCCAGCCCCTCTCCTGGCTCGGCTCCCAGAGACCAGCTCTGCGTGGCTCTTCTGAGGCCTGTTCTACATCCTGCACTGTCATCCATATGTACACATCCCTGGGCGGCCTGGGACACCGGGCCCAAGGCGGAGCTAGAGTTGTCTGTCCCGATGCTGAGGCATGGCGGCTCTCAGGCCATTGCTGCCCTCTTCCTGCCACCCTCCGGTCATCTGCTCTCAGGCAGCAGCCAGCTGGCCCAGGACCCGGCGGAACTGCTGGGTGCTGTGGCCCAGCTCCTTGACTCTGTCCACCATGTCCTGAGCGGCAGTTGGGGACGGGTACTGCAGGGCGGCGGCCTTGGTGGTGGCCACAATGCCACGCAGGAGGTCACACAGGAGGTTGCTGTAGTGAGTCACCTGGCTGCGCACATCAGCTGCTTTGGCCTGCCGCGACAGCGTGTCCCCGATAAACACCAGCTTGTGGGCACTGAGGATGACGAACTTGCTATGTGCCACGAAGATCTTAGGTGGCTGGTTGGTGGACACGGCGGTGAAAAAGGCATCCACTGCGTTGGTCAGTGTGGTCAGGTTCGCCTCACATTGCTCCAGGTAGAAGAGCAGCAGCTGTCGGTCCGAAGGACCCAGGCCACCCGGCCGCCCTGGGATCAGGGGCTGGGGTGGGGTCCAGTTGGCCAGGTCATGGTCGATGGGCCGTGACACCTCTTGTTCCAGTCGCTCAAACTGTTTCAGCTAGGGCAGCACAGGGAGTAGGAATAAGGTTAGGCTCTCAGAAAGCAGGGTCAGAACCCCCCAGGGGGCACTCTCCTCTGGGCAACCTGGGTAAGCTTCAGTCAGTGGGGCTGGGGTGGAATAGGCATCCCCTGTGGTCTGGGGGGGCGGGGACATCAATTTTATGAGCCTCTAAATTAAAAAAAAAAAAACCCACTGCCACTGAGTCGATTCCAACTCACAGCAGCCCTCTTTGGGTTTCTGAGACAGTTTATCTCTACGAAAGTAGATTGCCTGGTCTTCCTTCCAAGGAGCAGCTGGTGCGTTTGAACCGCCAGCTTTGTGGTTAGCAGTCACATGCCTTAGGCACTACGCTACCAGAGCTCCTTTATGAGCTTCTAGAGGCTCTTAATCATTAAAAAACCCACCTCACCAGTTTCAAAAGATCACAGGCCGTGTAATTCCATTTATATAACATCCTCAAGATGAGAAAATTCTAGAGACGGAGTTCAAATGAGCAGTCACAAGGAGTTAACTGGAGCTCTAGTGGTCCAGTGGTTAAAGTGCTTGGCTGCCAACCACAAAGGTCAGTGGTTTGAACCTACCGCTGCTCCACAGGAGATGCTGGAGTGAGAAAGATGAGGTACTCTGCTTCTGTAAAGACTGACAGCCTAGGGAGCAGTTCTCTGTCCTACAGGGTTGCTGTGAGTCAGGATCGCCCTGCTGGCCATGGCTGTCAGTGGGAGGGCAGGAGTTAACCAGCACCACCGGCTGCTGCTGTGTTGGTTCTGACTCATGGTTACCCCGTGTGTGCCAGACTAGAACTGGGCTCCACAGGGTTTCCAACGGTGGCCGTTTCTGGAGGCAGACTGCCAGGCCTTTCTTCTGAGGAGCCCCTGGGTGGACTCGAGACCTGCACCCTCTGAGATGGCAGCAGAGTGCATGCACCATTTGCACCAGCCAGGGAAGAGGTCACCACTTCCCGGCTGTGACCTTGTACTACAGGCACAGAAGATGCTGCCAGTGGGGGCTGGGGGAAGGGAACACGGGACATCCCTGTGCGTCTTTACAACTTCCTGTGAATCTATGAAATTCCAAAATGAAAAGATAGAAACAAAACTTTTCTCTTACTTCAAAAGTAACTTAAAAATAATAGAGACATCGTAAAAAGATCAGATGTCTCAAAGCAGAAAGAAGACAGGTATCATTTGTAACCTCTTGCGCTCAAAAATCACCTGTCAGCTCTGTTAAGTAAATTCTCTTCTAGAGCTACACGCTGAAGTCTTTATAGATAAAGTGATATAATGTCTTAGTCGGCTTCAAACTAGCAAGCAAGGAGTAGATGAAACAGGACAGGCTATTGTACTGATAAAGGCTGACTCAGGGTGACAGGTAACAAGGGGTCATTTCTCAATTTTCTCCTGTTTCATAAATGGATGTAAAGGTCAAAGGGAAAAATAAGGCATAAGGCATTTATGAAATGGTCAGAGAAATAAAAACAGACACACAGAACACCAATGAACACTCTTCCAGCCACTTTCTTCACGTGTGAGCACGCCCGCTGCCTCTGTGCTCTGAAGAACGAGGCACACTGTGTATGACACTGCGTAGCCTGGGTTGTCACCTAACTATACGCATTCATTTTCTTCACATCAGTGAACATCTAGGAAAGCATTTGGTGAGGGAACATTTCCAGTAACCGTGGCTCGGCCTGAGAGGACCTAGGGGCATGCTGTATTTTCTCCAGAGTTGGTTCAAACCAGGGGAGTGCATGGCAGTGACCAGACATGCCCAGACCCAGGGACAGACCCAAGGTACAAGCTTTCAGCTCTTAATCAGCCAAAGCACAGCCCCTACGGTCCCCAACTAACACTTAAAACCTCTGACTTTTCCGCCTGGCTGGCTGCTTGCTGTCCAATCACTGCTATAGGCCCCCTGTCCATTACAGAATGCAGGAAACTTTGAGGGAGAAAGACCAGCCAGCTCTGGTGGGCCTTGTCTGGCATTCCTAACAGCTGTACAGAACTCTCCTGCACCGATGCCCGTAATTCACTCACCAACACCCTCAGACGCTTAGAGGGGCTTTCCCAGTTCGTTAAGTCCGTTTCTGAAACAATGAGGATTTTATATGCGTGGTGCATGTATTTAAATCACTAACACATCCCACATGCCAGGCTTTCTCCAAGCACTGTACATTCTTAATATGCTCATCAATGCCAGGAGATGGAGAACCACTCCTCCCACTGCCTGCTGCTGGAGCAGCCGGGGCCCTTCCTCCTCCACCTGAGGAGCAGGGGGGTGAGAACTTCGAGGGGTATCCTCTGTCTTGACTCTGTGCTGTGCTACATTCTAATTTCACCATTGCCATAGTCAAAATACAACTCTCTGGGTACTTGGAGAAGATTCTGTCTGCAGATCAACCCAGGCTTATGACTGCTAATAAGGGGAAACTAACACAGCATGAAGGAGCTCTGGGGCGCAGTGCCCAAGGCATGACTTCACCAGAAGGTTCAAACCCACCAGCCACTGCTCGGAAGGAAGGCTGGGCAATCTACCGCCACAGTGACACCGCCTCGGAAACCCAAGGAAGGGTCGCTAGGAGTCAGACCTGACTCGACGGCAAGGAGGGTTTTTTTTTTTTTTTGTACAGTGTGAACATCCCATGATAATGGACACTAGGTGGGCTTTAAAAACAGTTTCCGAAGCATGTTAACACCACGGGAAAGCAACTGAGACATCAGCAGAGCGAACCTGTGCACAAAGCATCAGAGAGAGGCCTGGAGCAGAGGGGGCGGAACCCACCCTTCTCTAGACTTTTCTGTGCCCTCTGAAAAGTCAACAATTCTCCTGACCATCATGAAAAATAAACTCTTAAACAAAAAGACAGAAAAGGCCCATGAGGTGAGTGATGGCTGGCTACGGGTGTGGGCCCTTGGGGGACAGGCTGGGCCGTAGAGGCAGGCTCTGGGGGTAACTGAGTTCCCACTGTCAGGTGAGGAGACTGGCTGGGAGAACCGGCGGGACCGAAGGTCTCCCTGGCTGGGCCAGGCCTCACCTGCTGCAGCTCCAGCTGGCCCTTCCCCTGCCGCATGATGCTATCCTTCTCCAGCAGCTCCTTCTGCGTCTTCTCAAACTCTTCCTTCCCCTGGGGGAGAGACGGGCGCTGGTTGAGGCGGGGCCTCTCCCACAGAGCCAGGGGCCGGGCCGGGTGGGCAGTGAGGGCGAGCGGCCACCAGGTGGCAGTGCAGCCACCAGGCCCAGGTGAGGGTGCTTCCCTAAGGCACCACCAGTACAGGTTTCTGCCAGTCAGGAAGGGGCTGGCACAGGCAGACATCCACATGGACTAGGCATGCTCCGTGTGGCCGGCGCCAGTCCTCCCCACCTGAAGTCAAATCCAAACTCCTGCCCTGCCCGCCCACTCTCGGCCTGGACTCTCCTCTCAGAACTTGTGTTTGCATGGCTGGCAGCTGTGTCACGGAGCCCACCCAGCCTTCCCGCGGCCTGGTCACTGGAGCACCCCAGCCCCAGGAAGTGCTCAGGAAACAGTCCTGGCAGGTGCCGCAGGACCCAGATGAGGGGAGGAGAGGGATGGCCTTCCCAGGGCCCGTGAGGCCTGGCAGGGCAGAGAGAGGAGGGCTCAGGACTCCTACCAGGACCGCAACAGGCCTGTAAGTGTGCAAGACAAGGAAATACCAGGATCCCCAAGACAGAGGCAGCAAAGCCAGAGCCCAGGAGAGGCAGGAGGCACCCACCTGCAGGTGGACATAGTCGTAATCCTCCATCCAGCCCCCCTCGCTGTTCTCATACTGCCCATCTGGCGAGTCCTGGGAGGTAAACTTTGGGGGTGAGGGCAGAGGCCGCGACTGGATGCTACAGGCCTTGTCAACATGGTTTGGGTGCAAGGGGCCACCCCCCTCGGGCCCCACAGCAGGCGCCCTGGTCCTTCTGAAGAGCAGTGAGGCATTGCCATGCAAGAAAGAGGCCAACTGCTTGGTGTCCTCGGGCACGGCCCGTGAGCAGGCCACCAGGCGGTCCAAGTCCTCGGGAGTGGCCCCCTGGCCTCCCCGGCTACCGTCAAGGGCCTGGCCATGTGCTACCAGCGTCTGGTGCACATCTTCCATCTTCTGTAGTTGCCGACTGAGCTTGGCATGCAGGGTACGGTCAGAAGTGTGGGCAGCGTTGCCAATGGCACTGCGGGCAAACTCTAGCAGTTCGTGCACAGCCCCCTGGACAGCAGCCACGGCAGCCCGCAGGTCCTGCACCGGGGGGTCCTGAGGCTCGGAGGTGCTGCGCCAGCCTCCGCCCCCCACCAAGTCCAGGAGGTAGGCTACGGTGGTGCTCACACCCTGCTGCAGCCGGGCCAGAGCCTCCACGGCGACCTCCAGCTCCAGCGGCTCTCGGCCCGGCACCACCACCTCCAGGGAGGACACCGACTGGCTGCTGCGTGCACTGCCAGTGCTTGAGGCTGACAGGCGCTTGGCGTCAGCTGGGGCCTCGCGCTCGGCCGGGGGTGGCACCGCATACACGCCGTCGTCCGTGGTGCCGTCAGCTGCTTCAGACAGAAGCACCCGCTCACGGGGCGTGTCGTAGAGGGTGCTGGGGCCAGGTCGCCGAAGGCCAGGGGGCACGTCGTAGAGGTCAGGAGCAGGCGGGGGCACGTCGTACACGTCATCCGTTGGTGGCGAATCGGGAGGGGGTGCAGCAAGAACCAGCGGGTGGCGGGCTGGGTCAAAGGGCTTGGCCTTGGCGAAGGCTGGGGGCACATCGTATGTCTCCTCACGCAGCAGTGTGCCATCGGGCACGTCCTTGCTCACCGATGGAAGCACATCGTACACCTAGGGAACCCAGCAGAGGTCATGGCTGCACACCCATATGCCCACCCAGAGCCCAGGGACAGGACCCAGCCACACAGACACAGCCCAATGCACAAATTCATGGTCCGTCATCCACGACAGGTAAGAACCAGACGACCTGGGGTCAAGATCCTGGCTCCAGAGCTTATGAGCTGTGTGATCTAAGGCAAGTGACTTTACCTCTGTGCCTGTTTGTTCATCTATAAGATGATGCCTACCTCCCTCACAAGTTGGTTACAAAGACTCAATGAATTAACTCATATAAATGGACACTTTTTGTGAGTTTAGCTAAGTACCTTCATCACCACAACCATCACTTTCATCACCACCTCTACCACCATCACCACCATCACCACCACCATCTTTGTGGAATGTTAACTCTGTGGCAGGACTGAGCTTTGTGTGTTCTGTGGCATCATGGCCATGCCCCAGCTTGCCCAGCTCTGGCTCATGTCTGTCGCCCCCCACAAGATTACTCATCGTGCCCCCTTCCACTTCCCATCATCCAGGTTTTTCGGCACTGTGCTCCCTTTCCTGATAAACTCCACGTGATCCTCTCAACAACCAGCTGAAGAAGGTCCTATAGAGGCCCATGTTATAGATGAAGAAACTGAGGCTTAAGGGTGAGCTGTTTCCACATCCGTCACAGAGTAAGTAAGGTGGCAGGACCAGGATCTGGAGTCAGATCTCTTTAGGGCATCAGTCCCCAGGCCTGTGCACACATCCAGTCACACTTGGAACCATGCACATCCTCTGGGGCCCAGAAACTGGGGGTAGAGGGCTGCCTGGTGGGCAGCTGCTCACCATATGGTGGCTGGGTGGTAACAGGCCCTTCTCCACACTGGGGGGCACATCATACACATCCAGTGACAGGTCCCGGCCATTGGGGCCCTTGACGGCCATTGGGGGCGTGTCATATACCTGGAGGCAGAAAAGGTACAGTGATACAGGTGCCGGGGCTGCAGGGGTGGGATGGAAAGAGTGAAACCCCACAGCACCCACCCCAGGACTCTGGACCGTGGAAGCTGGTCCACCAGCCTGGCCGGAAGGTCAGCCCCTTGAACAAGGGCCAGGTAGAGGCCCGTCAGGCCATCTTGCACTCATTCACCCTGACCTCCTACCTCCTGGCCATACTGGTTGGGCAGCAGCCCCCGCACAGGAGGCACGTCGTAGATGTCCTGGGGCCCAGGAGCCAGCAGGTGGCGCGGGATGTCATATTCGTCCTGCTCTGGCTGGGAGGCCTCATACACATAGTTCTGCCCGACACGGGTGGGCACCACCACCTGGGGGTGCAGACAACCAATCATTACCATCCACCCTCGACTGGCCCCCAGGACCACATGCAGGGCCTCAGCAAGACCCCTTATCCCTGCTAGTCACCTCCCTCTGAGATGGCGGAGGAGGATCCCCAAGCTGGGTAACAAAGATGGGTCCACAGAGGAGGAGAGGATGTGGGCTGACAGGAAGGGGGACCAGCAGGGTGAGAGCCGATGCCTGGCTCCGGCAGCTCCCTCCTAGCAAAGCCTGCCGCAAGGGGACAAATGTCTCCTGCAGGGCTCAGCAGCTGCCTTCGTGCTCCAGGGACAGACGGAGGTATAGGGGCCAGGCTGGACCCTGAGGAGCCCATCTGCCCCTGGAGGTAGCCTGCAGGAGACCAGCACAGTCAGGGCCTGGGCCTCCTGAGTACTGCCTGGCCGGGCAGCAAGTCCTCCTCCCCACCTCCACGAAGCAGCTGCTGAACTGGACAGAATGCACCCCGAGGACCCCCAGACCTTGGGGCCAGTGCTCGGGCAGATGGAGGATGGGTGTGGGGGTCACAACCAGAGAGAGGATCCTGCCCCCACCCCTACAGAGCCACCTTGGGGCAGGCAGACCATCATCCGTGACCTGGGAGGACAAGGCTGCAGAGGTCTGCCCTAGGTCTGGAGGAACCAGCCTCTTCCCCTTCCCGGTGTTCTTACCCTGACCTGCGGTCCTGAGCGGTGGGCTTCAGCGGTGAAGCCCCTGCACCGTGCAGAGGGTGTGAGCATGGTAGGGGGTGCCTCCTTCAGGGAACACACAGACCCCAGAGCTTCAGAGAGCCCCGTCTGGGACCATGCTGCTCTCACAGGGGCACGAGCCTGGAAGGGGTGCGGCGTGCTCGACAGGCCCCCTCCCTGCTGGCAGCCCTGCCCCGTGGGGGAGGAAGGCCCAGAGGACTTGCTAGCAGCTCACAGCATGACTCCCCCAATGCCTGCCCCACGCGGCTCCCTGCTCAGCTCTCTACAGAGAGAAAGGCCTTTTGTTTCCTAATCAAAGGGGACTGGACATCTAGGGCAGGGTTCACTTGGGCCCTCCCCACACACAGCCCACAGGCACCCACCAGAGCCAGCTCTGCTTGCTGGCGGTGGGTGCAGGCTGCCAGTCCCCATGCGGGAACCCCACAAGCATGGCACCAGCACTTCCCTAAGGCTGGGCAGACTCTCCTGCTGACATACGCCCTATGCCCTCCCACTGCACAGCCCACTGCACAGCGCAGGGCAGCACAGGGCCAGGGTGACTCCGGGCCCTCACGGCCTCAGGCTCGTGAAAGAGCCTCCACCCCCAGCGTCTGCGGGGAGAGCCGTCTCTCCAGACACAGCTCTCTGCGAGCGCCCCAGACTTGAGTGGCCTCCAAGCTATTTTTAGATGCTAGAACCTGCCAACACAGGGCGGGCGGAGACTGGCGGGACGTGGCAGGTTGGTGGGGCCTTGACGCAAGGCCTGAGCTCCCGTCTACGGGCCCAGTGAGCCATGCTGAAGGCAGGTGGGGACTGAGCCTCGAGGGTCTGGCAGGGCACCCCAGCTGGTAACCGGTCAGCGAGGACCCAGCTTAGGAAAGAGGGCACCCACCCTCCCAGCTGTGCCTGTGAGTGAGCAGGACAGGGAGCTGGGCCCCAGACCCAGTTGGACAGCAGATGAGACAGGTGACAGACAGAAAGCTTGTCAGGGTGATGACTCAGTCACTGCTGAGCCCGCTAATCCCAGGCCGCTCTGCACCTGAAGTCCCATTAGCAGGACCTGAGGCCAGCGTGGTAGGGGGGGTGGGCGCAGAGACACAAGCCCCACGGAGACCCCAGCCCTCACACAGCACACTGAGGCAGAGACAATACACACGCTACCAGGCACGGGACACACCACCATGCCAAAGACACACACACAGACCTGAGGCAGGCGAGGCCCCTCCATCAAATCTCCGGCCTCGGAATGAGGAGTGAAGCCAAAGGCCCCCCAGCGCCAGGGCAGCAGAGTCCAGTGAGGGGGGTGCCACAGGGGGGTGCTTCTTGGCCCTGGCAGGCCACGGCTACTTTCCATCCTGGGGACTCTGACCCCCCTCCAGGCTGCCTGGCTGCTGGTGCCCTTTCTGTACAGCAGCCATTGTCACGTGACCCAGCCCTGCTCTGAAGCGGGGCCTGCAGGGTCTGACCCCACACCAGGGACTCCCCACCCACCACCAGGAAGCCTCAGGAAACGGGGCTGATGGCAGCTCTGGAGGCACCGGGCACCGGGGCCACCTGAGACCCGACATGGGCTCAAACCCGAGCCAGGTCACGGCCTGGCACAGAGGAGGCTGGGCGTTGAGAAGCTTCCCAGGGTGAAGAGGGTAAAACCCGGCAGAGGCAGAGACAAGCACACACTCCAGGGTCTCCCTGGCCCTCCTGAGAGGGACTTCTCACCAGCACCTCCTCTGGGGCTTCCACCCGCACAGCAGAGTCCTGGGATCCCCGATGCAGCCCCGAGCCCCCCTCTGCGGCCTCTCAGGCCACTCGGCTCTTGCTTCAGCACCCAGATGGCTCCACCCTGGCTTTGGGGCGCTGACCCCTCCTGGCCACCAAGGCCTTTTCATGTGACCTCTTGGCTTCCTGGGTCCTGGGTCCCTCCCACCACACACAGTCCAGAAGCCTCAGTGCCCCAGACATCTGAGGGGCACAACCTTGAACAGTGGGCAGAGGGAGGTGCCACGATGTTTACCACCATGCTGCTTGTAATAAAGATGAGCAACCAGAAACCACCAGCACCCACCAGCAGAAGGGACCACACAGCAAAACGGGGGGAGGGGCTGTCAGTCAGGCTTAGGGAAGAGTTTGAATCATCCAGGAAAATGCAAATGTATGTGAGACAGCCAAACAGGGCACATGCTAGACAAAACACGCCAAAACTCCCTCTCGGGCAGGGAATCCCATCTCGGGCCTTTTCCACAAGTGATCATTTGCTGTGATGAACAAGTACTGTTTTCGTGATCAGGTGATAAAAGTAAGGCTGCTCTGGGCGGGAGCAATGAGGCATCAGGGAGGGCAACGGGGCCCCAGCACGCAGGGCTGTCTGTCCCTCCTAGGCCAGGTTCCTAGGAACTCCAAGGCCTGTGGAGGCTGGGGCTCTGGGCAGCTCCGCCAGGGGGTCCGAGCCCAGCCAGGTGTGCCCCAATGCCCTCTGAGAGCAGACTCCTCCCACAGGAGGGCAAGAGAACCAGCTGACCACACAAAGGCTCCAGCTGTGGAAGTCCAGCCCAAAATGTCACTGCTGCTCCCTGCCCTGGAGCGGGCCGCCAGGTCATAGCCCAGCAGGGACACCTTCACACTCTCTGAGGCAAGAACAAGGGTGTGCCTCCCAGGGCTGTGTGGAGGAGGCGGATGGACCAAGGCCTGTGCCAAGGCTCCCTTCCCAGAGGATGATCATGCCACCTGGCAGGGCCTGCTCCTCCCCCAAAGCTGGCAGGTGATAGCCTCACTTTGGGCCACCTCAAACCTGCCTACCTCTGGCCAGGTGACTGAAGGAACACATAGGGCGGGAAGTGGGACCCACAAGTGTTTCAGGGGCCTGTGGAGTGGGGTGACACCGCCCACTGCCCTGCTGGCACCAGTTAAGCCTCACCTTAGCCCTTGGCTGGCCCCCAAAGGACAGAGGCTCAGTGCTGTGGGAAGAATCCACTGTCTACTTGACCCCTGTGTTCCTAAACAATGGCGACTCTAGACTGGACGTGGTGAAAACACAGGGCTCAGGGGCCAGCTCCTAGGTCACCAACGGCCTATCCCACAAGGGTCCCTGGCCCCTCTGAGGAGTGAAATGCCCAGAACATCACCACACAAGGCTGGCTGTCAGGGCCCCTGTGGTGGGGGCTTAGTCTCAGGGCTTTGTGGGTACTAGCTGTAATGGAAGATGAGACTCAGAAGGGACATGGTGAGTGGGGCACCTCCTGTACTCTGGGCCTCAGGAAACTCTTGAAGGGGCTTGGGCAAGGAAAGACACAAGCCTGACTCAGTCCAGGGCGCCAGTGGGCCGGGCCAGAGACCAGGCAATGTGCTCCCTTTTCAGGCCTGCCTTCTACCTACAGAAAGATGGACTTGGCGGATAGGAGATGCAGGCCCCTATGGAGCTGAGGCTGCCAGACTCAGAGCCTGGAGCCTTGTCTCAGGCCTGGCATCCGGTCAGCAACAGCCCACGAGGGGATGGAACCAGTCTCTTTCAGGGTGACCCTATTCTGGCAATTCCACAGACAGCATCCTGTCCACGGTCTGGGAGCCATGACATGCCTCTCTGGAGGCCCGCTGGCCCACATGTACACTTCCGAAGGGCTGGGAGCCTGTGAAACCAGGGCTGGCCAGATGTGCTTAAGCTCCATCCAAGAGGCTGACATACAAACCCAGAGGTCAGCCAGGAGGCCCTGAGTTCAGGGGCTGACCTTTCTTGCCAGGCCCCTCGGCATGCATGCCCACCAGGACCAGAAACTGTTGAGGGTCCCCTAGGGGCCTCTGCTCCTTCTTTCTTATGACAGAATCCCTATTAGTGAGGCTTGTGGCTACCGGCAATAAAAACTCCATTTCTCAAATTCCCTTGCAGCTGGGTGGGGCTTAAGTTCTGGCCAATGGGATGTAAGAAGCATCATAAGTAACTTCCGGGACACATCCTTAAAGAGATGGTGCATCCTCCTTTGTCCCTTCCTCTTCTTCCTGATGGCCAGAAGGCAGACATGATGGCTGGACCTCAGACAGCCTCCTGGACCACAAGGATGGCGGGCACCGTGTCATTTCTGGACTGCTCACCTCCAAACTTCGTTTTCTGACTTAACTGATACACCATCCTTCATACTTGATTTCTCTCCTTCAATGGTACCCCCAACTCACATTAAGCCTCCTCTTTGCTAGGCTTTTTGCTCCAGCTTGGCCTCTCTATGCCCCATTATCACCTCCAATGTGTGGCTACAATGATTTTACTAAGATGTTGATTTGGACAGATCACTCCCATGCAAAACCCTCCAACCTCAGGACAGATCTGCTTTGTTTGCTGGGCCCCCTGGTGCCTCGGGGATATGCCCCCAACCTGCTGCTCTGGCCTCATCTACCAAGCCATGCCTGCCCACACCTAGGCCACACTGTCCTCCACACCTGTGCCAGGTGATCTTACCTTGGCTGGTGGCTTTGTTCCCTCCCAGTTCCGTGTGTCCATGGATGGAGGGACCTGGTAGATGTCATGCCCCATTGCAGCTGAAGGGGGCACCTGGTAAATGTCCTGGCCAGAGCTGCCAGGCCCCGGGGGCACTTGGTAGAGGTCTTGGGCTGGGCTGGGAAACGGGTGATGGGGAGTTTGCTTAGAGAATGTGGAGGTCTGCTTGGCCGGGGGTGACTGGAACTGTGGGCTGGGCCCAGGGGCTTGGTAGAGGCTGTGCTGAGCCTTGCCTGGGGTGGGCACCAGGTAGACGTTGTCGGGAGGGGGCTGGTATGCAGCAGGGAGCATGGGTGTGTACTGGGAGGCCGGTGGCACCGCAGGACTGTGGAGGCCAGGCTGGGTCTGAGCAGTCGGCAGGCTGGGACCAGGCCCTGCTGGCTTCTTGTCATGCATGCCCACCAGGATCTTGAGGCGGTTCCCAGGCACAATGCCTTGGCGCCCATGCAGCGAGCAGAGCCACCAGCCATCCAGGCCCTGAGTGTCCCGCTCCAGCACCGTCATGATGTCGCCCTTGCGGAAGGAGAGTTCGTCTGGGGACTCGGCCACGTTGTCATAGAGGGCTTTGGCCAGCACGTTCTGGGGAGAAAGGACACAAGAAGGTGTGAGGCAGCAGCATGTGCATGGTGGCCTCGGTAGCACTGCTCGCTCCCACACTGTCTGGATAGGGAGGTGTCTGGCTCTGGCATGGTCACAGAACCTCCGCCCCACCCCATTTGTCAGAAAGGCCCAGCTGATCCCAGTGCCTTTCCCAATGGAGCCTCCAAGCCGCAGCCACCACTGCAGGAAGGACACTCAAGATAATCTTAAACACCACTCCCCAAGTCAACACAGCCCAGACTGGCGTCAGGAGAGCAGCAGTAATGAGCCTCACAGCCATCACACTGGAAGAAAAAAACCAAAAGATGAGCCCAAGAGATGCGGGACAATCAGCTGGCAAAAGTCAACAGCTTCTTAGGACAAAAATGCTAAAAAAGACAGACAGGAAGAGAAGAAACCTCCTTAACTTTAGACAAAGTACACTGACCAAAAGGTCAACGTCAACTCCTTCCCTTTCAGGCTGAAAACAGGGCACACAGTCACTCTGCTCCAGTGCATGCAGTCCTACTGCTCCAACAGATGCCAATGAGTCAGAGGAACAAAATGAGACAGAGACGGAGGGGCAGAGACAGGGGAGAGACAGAGAGATGGATGGGCAGAGAGGTGGGGAGAGAGAAAAAGAGAGAGGGAGAGACAGAGAAGGTAAGAGAGAGAAAGACAGAGGGGGGAGACAGAGAGATGGAAGGGCAGAGAGAGAGGGAGAGACACAGAGAGACAGATGAGAGACAGGGAGAGACAGAGACAGAAAGAAGGAAAGAGAGAGAGAGAGAGGGAGAGAAATAAGAAGAGGGAGAGTCAGAGAGACAAACAGACAGACGGGAGGGGGGACGGACAAACACACGCAAAGCAGCATCATTTGCAGCCCAGATGACCATCCACATAGAAAAGCCAACAAACAATAAGAATGAGTAACTGATGAGAAATGTCACAGAAAAGACATCACATAACAAGAGCTATAAGTCATCGAGGAATAAGTCAAACAAAGACCTCTGAAGAGAAAACGTTTTACACCTCTGAAAGGGTCCAAGGCAAAGTGGGGTAAGCAGAAACACATACTATGCTCATGGAGGGATGACGGAGCTCTGCAAAAAGTCCTCTCACCCAAGTTACTTAATAAACTCACTCCAATTACAACCAAAAGGCCAGCAGGATTTGAGGAACCTGACAGAAGTGCTTCCAGAATGAAACAAAGGAAGTCCACGAATAAGCAGGTCTAGCCTGGAAATGCAAAGGTAAGGGTCAGTAACAGAGGCTGGGGACGACGACTGCTGGCAGGAGCAGGCACAGGGACTGACAAGACGGCTCACCAACAGACTCACTCTTCATGGGAACTTGGGTGATAAAGCAACCAGGAAAGGAGGCCGTGCCTCAGACGACACTGGGGAACACTCAGCGTGGGAGGACAGGGCAGCTTTGCCACCTCCCATTATAAACAAGGGTCAGCTAAAGACTCTGCCGTGCAAGAAAAAACTCTAGAAGCAATGAAAAGAAAAGCTGTAGGGAGATTTGTAACTTGAGGCGTAGAATCATTATGAAACAAAATCCCCAAAGCAAAAGGCCCCAAAGGCACAAATCATAAAGATGTAACAACAAAAATGGCAGATTTGATGCCATCCCAGTGAAAGATCTCTGTCAGGCAAAAGATGACAAAGTTGACAGAAAGGTGGCAGGTTGTGAAAAGAGGAGAGTGATAAATCTCAAATCCTGGGGAATTCTACAAATCAGAAAGAAGACAAGGACACCAACAGAAAACACAACAACACGTGATGAGTGAGAGCCTGAGGGGGACGCCCCAAGGCCCAGCAAGCAGTGCAGCAGCACTGGGGCGCCTGGGACCTGCCATCAGAGGCAGCTGTGTGGGGGCAGCACCTGGGCTGGTACTGGCAGGGCATTCACAGGAGCAGAGGGTCACACGCACCTCACACAGGGTGCTTGTTCCTCCAGCAGGAGGCTGCCTGGGTCCCCCCAACAGGGCAGCAGTTTAGGGTGAAGGACACCAACCTCGAGGGTAGGGTCTTAGCCACATGCTCCAGAGCTAAATTAAACAGATCTTTAGCCCAGATCCTTTATGCGAACGTCATAAAGGATCCGTCACAGACAGACTGCAGCCACGTGACGCTGCGGCAGTAGTGGTGGTAAGACAGGGCACTGGGAAAGGGGTTCCATCCAGACTGAGGACAGCCCCTCAGAGGGCAGCAGCACCCCTGCGTGTCTCACTGAGGGCCACAGCATAAGCTGTTCCACCCCCACCCTCCATCACATTCACATCACCCAGGCAGGCGGGTCCCTCAGCAAATGCTCCACGGGACCCAAGGCCCTGGAGTCGAGCAACCAGCGTATCGTGGGCCATGAGATTAGTGCAGCGGCATCTCCTTCCCAATTCTCACCCCCAGATGGTCACAGAGGCCCCAGCAGGAGACTGCAGTCAGCAGCCTCCAGCAGAGGGCAGGAGTGGGGCAGAGGAGAGAAGGCCAGGGCTCCTAGGGCAGTTGAGAAGGTGCCAGGGCAGTGCCAGGCCAGCGGGCTGCTGACTCCTTAGAGCTCCAGCCCCATATGCTGGGTCTGCCAGGTCCCTCCTCAGTCCCCAAGGGTCTAACTAAGATGCATAGCCTGGTCTAGACAGCTTCTGACTCAGAAATGAGACCTGGGCTGTCACCCACCAGCTGTGTGATCTTCCCCACTTGAGCCTAGTCCTCTGGACTCCAACTCCAAGGAGCCAAATAGGAGCTGGAATTCCAGGCAGAAAGGGCTATACCCTCCCCATCAGAGAGAGGAAGTGGCCAGGGCAGGGATGAGTGGGGACAAGGCTTCATCCAAGTCCAGAACAGCCCACCTCCTCCCTCCACCAGCATCTGAAGCCGGATTCTTGTCCATCGTCCTGAGGGTAACGAGAAGGACAGAGCAGCGCCAGAAGGCAGGTAGCACACTGGGAGGGGTCCGAGCGGATGGCAGGTGCTCTGGGGCCCAAGGAGCCATCAGCCAGGCACGATTTCTCCAGAGTGGTTCAGAGCCTCCATCCCCAGGAGGGCCAAGTCCAAGGGAGAGGCAGCGCCACCACACTGCACACAGCCAGGCAGGGGCTTGGGCGGAGTGGGGGGCAGGGGGGCTCACCTCAGCACCAAGGGCAGAGCCCTCAGAATTACCAGTTACTGAAGCACCATCCCCAGAACCTTGGTAACAAACGATTCCTCAGCAAAGTGTCAGAGCGGCAGAGGAGCAGAGAGGGCGACAGTGCCGGTATTGACGTCAGAGACAACAGGGCTGCCGTCTCTTCCTGTTACTTAGAATTCTTCTATTTGTACTTATTTTCTTGCTTTGGGATTGAAAAAATGCATATCCTGAAGAAGAAAACGCAGACTAACTCCTGGGATCAGAGCCAGGATGGGCAGAGGAGGCTGCGGCGGTGCCAAGGCCAGAGCTCAAGCTGGGCAGGGGCTGCCCCAGCCCGCAAGGCTCACAGTCCCCAAATCTAGCTTGCTAGAATAAGAAGCCAAGTTCCCAAATATGGTCTACAGCCTGCCTCTGGGAGTCATATCCCATCGGGGCGGGATACTGACCCACCCATCCCAGTGACCCCAGAGCACAGAGCCTCCCGCAGGGTCCCCCAGCCCTGCCCTGGTGACCACAGGAAGTACCAGCAGAGTGAGTCAGGAAAATTCCCCTGCAGGCGAGTCAGCGGGTCGGAGGCGCAGACAGAGGGGATCACTCTGCACAGGCCCACACCTCCCAGGTGGCAGCTCAGGAAGGCTGGCAGCAGTGCACACCCAGGCCCCTGGGCAGGCTGGACAGGCCCTGCTGAGAACAAGGTCTGGGGAGAGGTTCCACTCTGCGCCCATGTGAGCAACTGGGGTCTCAGGCCTCCCACCGTAGCCAGTGCCCACCCCGACTCAGCAGTGTGAGCTCACCGAGCCAGGGGCCAACGGTGGCTGCAATTGTTAGTCTGGAATGGCCAGGGCCAGGCGGGGCAGCACCTCGCCAGATGGGCACGTGGCAATGGGGCCTGGCACCGGGAGCTCCTCTGCCTGCGTCAGCTGTGGGGCCCCCGCCCAGAGGCCCTGCAGGCGTCCTCTTCCTGGCCCGCTCCAAGTCCTGGGCGCCACTGGCATTCTCCTCCCCCCTGCCCCAAGCACTGCTGCTGGCCGGGCACTGCCCCTCTGGCGGCTCCCCAAAGACACATCACCCCTTCCTGCTCTCTCCAAGTCACTGAGCAGCAACAGACTTAGACCTGGGCCGGCTTCCCTCCCCAACTCTGGGACCCTGGCCAAGTCCCTTAGCCTGAGTGTTGAGGTCATTTTGGGTGGCACGGGGGACCAACGGTCCCTGGCCTCAAAGGACGGTCTTTCATTTAAGATATACCTGGCTCCTGCCCTTTGCGTGACAAGGCCCGTCCTGCAGTGGGACAGAAATGCAACAATTTGCTCTGACAGGGGAAAAAGTGGGGTATATGATAAAAACTAAGTGGAACAGGGCCGCTATAGACCAGGTCAGAGACGGCCTCCCCAGGAGGTAATACTTCAAGTGGCTCATGAGGAATGAAAACTAGCGACCGTGAAAGGACGCTAGGAGGAGAGCTGCAGGAAAGGTGGAGGGGGACAGTGGCCCTGGAGATGCAGGTAGTAGGGCTCCACTGTGGTACACGGGGAGGGCTTCTCCTGGCAGATACACCTGGACAGGGAGAGCCTACCCACCCCACGCATTCCTGCTCTGGGGCAGGCACACATGCCCCCAGCAGCCTCCCAGTGCCCAGCTTTCCCAGCCTCCCTGGATGTCGGGCACAGACACAAGACCCAGCCTGGGCCAACTGGGCCCTCTCGCCCCAGGCTCCTGGGAGATGCAGCTGGGACTGCTCAGAGGGGCGCACGGCCAGTTCAGGACAGACACCGTCAGCCACCTGTGAGTATTCCTCCTCCAGGAAGACTCCCATGTTGTCCTCAGTGCCCCTCACCTCCTTACTGCCACCCTGCAATTCTTCCCAA